TGTCTCAAAAAAAAAAAAAAAAAAAAAAAAAAGAAATGATTTCTGAATGAGTGAAAGTATGAATGAATATAGAGAGGGCTAAGATGAAATGGATAGTATTGAAGGGTTTTTATAAGAAGGAGACTTGTTCTCTTTACTACATAAGGTTGTATTAGGATCACTAAATATAAGTTATTAGGAGGCAGAGTTAAGGTTAATGTGAGTTAAGAATTTCTTTATATTTAGAGCTGTTCAGCGATAGATAGCTACCACATGAAGCATTGACCTTTTTAGCATTAGAAGAAGTTAAAGCAGAATCTGAACATGTTTTAGGATGCTGTAAAAATATTGCTGCATTGAATTTTCAAGTAATTTTCATGCTGTAATCCTTAGAGCTCTATGGGTTCCAAAGAGACACTTCAGCATGGGGAGTGGGGCGAGGGAAAAGAAAAGAATAGACAATCTAATCTATTGAAACTCTGAATCTCCTACTTTTCCTCTATAACAATAGTAGGTCTGCTGTTTTGCTTTGTTTTGATATACTGGGTTTTTAGCTATAATATGGTTTGAATAAAGATTCCACAGCTATTCAAAACATTGAAACCACTTGCCTGGCCATTTTACATCTAAATTATATATATACATAAAATGGCCAGGCAAGTGGTTTATATATGTAAATATATATATACACATACAATATATATAAAATATATATACAATATATAAAATTATATATACAGATATATAATTACATATATAAATACATGTATACATATATACCATATATATATCATATGGTATATATAAATAAAATTTACACACATATAACCTGTGTGAGGAGATACATATATATATATATTTTTGCCTAGAGAGATTCAGAGAGATATAAGTATATAATATCTGTATATCTATTTATCTATCTCTTTATATACTTATACTTATCTGTATATAAGCTATATGAGAAGATACATAGATATATCTATCTCTGTCCTAGAAGTATGTATATATGGGGAGATCTCTCTCTCATTGTATATATTTATCTATATAACCCATCTGAGGAGATATATAGATTATATACATATATGTATATTCTATACAGGACTATCTCCTCACACAGCACCTTGCTCATCAGTCATAGATGCTCAGGAAATACATACGAGCTCTGTCCTGTTCTTTGCCCTTTGGTGTACTCAAAAACCACTTGAAGAATCTTAACGTTCTATTCTTATTTAGCTGACGTGTTTCTTCAGTTTTCCTATGAGCTCCATCAAGGTAGGCACAGTATACTTTCTTCTTTGTAGCTACCACAGCACCACAACATTGTATTCCCCCAATAAACCTTTGAATGTGTAAAAAAATAAAGGATTGGTTCTAGTTTTCCTGGATAAGTAAATATATTGGAAATAGAACAGACCGAAATTATATGATTAATAACACATAAGTTAATGGTGTAGAAGGAAAGACATGAATTAAAATGTCAAGAACTCAAGTAAAGAGAATGGAGGTTCTGCTGTGTCCTCTGCTGGTCTGGCACAGGCTGGTTAAGTATCCACAACAAGCCTATACCCCTTTTCTTAATTTAGATAGATCAGATCCTTGATCCTTTTTTAGTCTAGACTTTTGTACAGATTTCTTTTGAATACGTTTTTCTGCAGAAATAAAAATATCAGAACCATGGCTCTTCTTCTTCATCTCAGGGCCATTTCTTCCTAATGTTTTGGTGCCTGCTGTCCCCTGGCTTTGTTTATAAGGCTGACAAACATTCTGGAACAAAAAGAAGTTACCTTAACTGACTAGGGGTGAAATAAGCAACCTTCAAACCTGAAGCTATGTGTGACATATCTAGGCACTGGATTCTAAAGTTTAATGGCAGTTTTACCTCTAGCTTTTCATTATAAAATTCTCTTGTGGTATAATTTAGTGTAGCACGATTTGTGTTTTCTCCTACAAGTCTTTTGCTGTCATTATTTTCTTCATTGACAACACCAGGTTTTTTTCCTTTGGTTTCTAGCAGATACCGGAACTGCTTTTTCCTGTGGAAAGACAGTGAAGAGATTTAGAGCTACTTATCAGACTTATTAAAACATGGTCTATTTTTTGTTGACTTTAGAAGAGAGCCCATGCTCTTGTGAACATCTGTTTTATGAGTTTGAGTTGATTATTTATTTGGGCTCAGTTTGGTATTCTAGTCGTTCTACTAATTAGGTCATTCAACCCAAATTCTTTTGTTCCATAACTACCAATCATCAACATAAACATGTCTCAAGCATTTCCAAAATGAGAAAACAAAACAAAACAAAACTGTACCTTAATAAAAATCAGTACAAAATTCAAAAATCATGGAGCACGAACCAACCCAATTAAAGGTGTAGGAGGCCAGGGCAAATTTTTGATGTCTTTATATCCCATAAAACATACGCTAGTTACCTCTCATAGATCACACAAATAGTTCATAAGTCCATTATGCAGCTCAGTAGTTATTACTCAGAGCTAGCAAATGGAGTGGGCACTGGCTTAAGTTTAGGCAAAAACAAAACAAATGAAAACAAAGAACTGTTAGCATCTCATGACAAGATCCAGGTAGAAGGTTAAATAATGAAACAAGGAGCCTCACTTAATTATGAAGAGGGACATACACAGTGCTCACAGTACTTACAGAGCCATCAGCCCAGAATTCCAGAGGACTGCAGCTCATCCGCCATGAACACTGCTTTCTGGTTTCCACCACTTAGGGTGTCTCTAAGTCAAGTGATACTACTACTTTACTGTGAACTGTGAACTGAAGATTGGGAGCAGAAGAGGGATATATCTTTTTTAAAATTTCTTCTTTTTTCATTTAAAAGTATAACACAATTATTTTAGAAATTTTGGAAAAATTTGAAAAGCATAATGAAATAGATAAAAAATCATCCATAAGTCTATAAACTAAATCTATGACATTGTTCACATTTAACATATTTCTTTGCAGGCATTTTCCATAAATTTCTGTAAAAAGTTAAGATCATACTAAACAACTGATTTTGTATATGGCTGTCACTTAGTGCTACATAATAATCATTTTTATATCCTTAAAAAGGATAATTTTGATAAATGAATAAAAGTCAATTGTGATATAGATCACAATTTCCCTAAATGTCCCTTTCACTGGATATATAAGTAGCATAACTTTATCACTTTTGTAAAGAAAAAAGTAGGTAACATATAGATCTTTATCTGCATTTGTTTTCTTTACTGAGATTTTAATTACAAAAACAATGCCCACATACATTTTCTATCACTTTTATAAATCTTTTCACAAGGCAACTTTCCATTAATTCTGTTTTAAACATCATTATTTCTTTTCTTTAACTTTCTTCAGGTTCATTTTGCTGTTCTTTTTCTAAGTTGGTGAGATAAATGTTTTTCTCATTCATTTTCAGCCTTTATTCTTTCCTAATATGCTCATTTTAAGGCTAACAAGTTTAAGCATCACTTTAACTTGATCCCACAAGTTTCAAAATGAGGTATTTTTATTATATTTCAGTTCAAGGTAGTTTCAGATTACAAATTGTCTTCAACCTAAGGGTTATACAAAAATGTGTTTCTTAATTTCCAAATAAGGAAATTTGAAAATAAGGGGATTTCCTGGTTATCATTTTGTAATTAGGTTAAAGCTTAATTGCTTTTCAATTTTTTGCAATCTGTTGACATTTGCTGTATGGATAGTATTTAGTCAATTTTCATAAAAGTTCCATGTATGTTTAAAAAGAATGTGTGTTCTACTGTTGCTGTGAGTAATGTTGTGTACATATCTATTGGGTCAAATTCATTATCATATTGTTCAAATATTTTATATCCTTTTTCTGATACTCACAGATGAATAAAAGATTCCCACTGAAATTGTGAGTTTTTAGTTTTGTCAACTTTTGGGTTATAAATTTTTTAAGGTTGTGCTAATAGATGCATATAAATATAAATTTGCTTTATCTTTCTGGCAAACTGAACTTATTATCAATTTGAAATGATCCTCTTTATTTCTGGTATTGCTTTTAACACTGAAGTCTATTTAGGCCTCAATGGCTACCCTGTTTTTATTCTGGACAGTATTTATGTTGTTTATCTTTTCTCACTTTTTTACTTTCCAACTTTATGTAAACTTAGGTTCTCGTTTACAAGTATGAATACAGCTGAAATTCATTTTTTATTCAGCCTGACAATCTATGGCTTTTAATCAGAATTAGTATATATGAATCTCTATCACTGAGGTAGCCTGATCACATTAATGGTTATATTATGGCTTCCTTGAATCCATGCCTTTACAATGTGATTTTACAGCTATGTAAAGCCTACTTCCAGGTCCCTTAAGTGTTCCTCTGTGACTCACTTTGAATAGAATGTGGGTGAAATAATGGTATGACTGTTCCTAGCACAGGATTCAGTCCTCAAAACTTTTATGGAGAAGTTTTTATTTTTGTTTTGCCCAAGATTTTTAATTGCTCTTAACACAAGGGATGGTTAAAACAACCACACTCATCATTTTCAGAAACATAAGTTCAATATATTCCCAATTTTGTATAGATATACAGCAAAATTTGAAAGCCACTCTTTTCAAACTCTACAAACATAGAACAAAACTGGAAAACCTCTCGTCAACTACTCCACCACCACTCGTAATATCTGCACCTTTCCAGGTGTTCATACTTTCAGTTCCCTTTCTGTGTTTCTACATTTGTATGTCTACATACATGTAATTTATTTTGTTTTTTATAATATCAAGTCATAATGTAAATATTGTTTATGCCTTATTTTATTCAATTAACTATATGCTTCTGGATCATTTCATGTCAGAATGGGAGATTTACCTCAATCTTTTCCCCTCGCCTCCTTTCACAGGCATGTAACAACTGCAGTATAGACAACATCCTTTGGATGCTACATCCATAATGGAGCAGTATCATGATAAACTTAGCTATCCCTGTTATTAGGCATTTAGTTATTTTCCAAAGTTGAGCAACTTCAAATAATAAAGCATGGCAGCCTTGTATATAAATTGTTTGTGTGTGCTTTTGTCCAGTGGATGTCCTGGTATTTTATAGTTTCTTTGCCTCTATAAATGGGATACTTTTTTAAATACTATTTTCAATAGGTTATTATTGGTATGAAGAACTGTTAATTATTTTTATCTGTTGATCTAGATTCTGGCCTCATTACTGTATATTCTGATTAATTCTGAAAGTTTAATACTTGAGCTTTTGAATTTCCTGGACAGTCATTTTGTGTTTTTACTGTTCGACTACTATTTTGACTACTGTTTCTTATTTTTTTTAAGTTTCTATTACATTTATGAATTTCTTTTTCCCATTTTCTTTTGCTTCACTTTGGTATTTTTCTACCTTCCTAAAGTAAAAGCTTCATTCATTACTTTCTAATCATTATTTTCCATTAAGTACATTAAAGATATATAATTTCCTCCCAGTACAGTTTTGGCCATGTCCCAGAGTTCTGACACATAGTATTCTTATTGTCAAATTCATTTATATATGATTTATTATTTCAGATTTAATTTCCTCTTTAATTCAAAAAAGTTAAAAGTATTTTTTTAAAACGCTTTTTAAATAAAAAATACAGGCTAGGTGTGGTGGTTCATGCCTGTAATCCTAAGCACTTTAGGAGGCAGAGGCTGGAGGATAACTTGAGCCAAGGAGTTTGAGACCAGCCTGAGAAACGTTATTAAGACTTGGTCTCTACAAAAAAATAAAAATATTAGTTAGGCATAGTGGCACATGCCTATAGTCCCAGCTACAAAAACCAAAAACATAATTCAGGAGGTTCATACAAACATACAGTAAAAAGTAAACACCTAGTATTCCTAGTTCAACACCTAGAGGTAATTGCATTTAAAAAATCAAATATTTTTAAACAGCACAAGAATATCTTTGGATAACATGGCCCATTTCTCACAAATTGCAGCATACTATACAATTGTTCTATAACTTAGTGGGTTTTTTGAGATGGAGTGTTGTTATGAGACTAGTCTCAAACTGTTGGCCTCAGCTAATCCTCAGCCTCCCAACATGTTGAGATTACAGGTATGAGCCACCATTATCAGTCTCTTACATTTTTATTTTTTGAGAAATCTTAACAATTGTTTCATACAAGAATATGTAATTATTTTTAGAGCTGCAAGTCTTGTTCTATTGATGGACATTTAGTGAGTTTTCATATTTATGCTAACATAAATACTGGCTGCAATGAAAATCCTTGGACACATATATTTGTGCCCATGTAAAAAATTTGTGTAGTACAAATTTCTTTAAGTGAAATTTCTAAGTCAGAAGGTATGCATGTTTAAAATGTATTAGATATTGCTATGTTGCTGTGAAAAATAATTATAGCAACTTTCATTACCACCAAAAGTATATAAGAGCCCAATTTTACCATACTGTACAACATCAAACTTTTAGTCTTTCCCCAAGAAGCTATTTTGCTATTTTCAAATCTGTATGTCTATAATTTTGATGGAAGTCAAGCATCCTTTTAAGTTTAAAGGCACTTGAATTTTGTTTTCTGGGAGCTTGCTTCCCTTGGTTTTTCCACCCTCCCAATTCCAACTAGACAAGTTTGGCTATCCTAACTTACCATTTTCTAATTTTAGATACTATGATTTTATGAGCATTCTTTTTGGGATACATGGAAATTTTCTTTGAGTTTAATATATATTCAACTTTTTCACACATTTAATAGATTTTTGAATATAATATATGCTATTTTTATGAATTGTGTATAAGGTTCTGGAAATAATATTTTAATATATTTATTTGATAAAGTGTGTTACTCAAGTCCTCCATATTCTTTCTTATTTTGGTTTACTTGATCTGATTTATGAGAGAAGTATATTAACATCTACTATAACAACTGAATTTGTCAATGTATACCTGTATTTGCTGATATGTTTAGAAGCTATAATCTTGGTTATATTATTTCATAACTATTATCTTTTTTGGTAGATTGTAGTTTTCAGTGTCATTGATTCCATTATCTCTAATATTAATATTCTCATATCTGTCCATTGGTAGCATTTGCTCATTAAATATTTTTTACCCATTTAATTTCAACCTTTAGGAGTTTCTTCAGGGTTGTTTCTCAAAAACAACATGTAACTCAATTGTTAATCTACTCTGAGAGTTACTATCTACTAATGGGAGAATTTAATTCATTAACATTTATTTTGATAACCCATATGCTCTTCTTTTTTCTTTTCTTCCTGATTTTTGCTACTCACTTTTTTGTCCCTTTAGTAACTTAGAAATTGTACACCTAATCTTTTTCTAATGGCAACCCTTAAAATTTTAATACACATAGTTGAACATTTATTTTTCCAATAATTTTTGTTGTTTTTGTAAACAGGGAGAGAAACTTAGTAACTTTGACTTCCATTCTCTTAGGATTTTCTGAGATTTTTTTTTCAGAACATTTAATTTTTTTACATGGTGTATTAATACTTATTCATAAAGCTATAATTTTTACTAATTTCTTTCTAAACCATCATTTCTTGAATTTATTACCTCCCTTACTTTTTTTTCAAAGTAGTTTGTGGGTTGTGGGTGGGATTTAGATTCCATGAATCAGATATACTTGGATAAGATCTGAATTCAGAATTGAGCTAAGTACAGAAGTGGGAGCAACATCAGACACTTATTTTGTTGGTGTAAATCATAGCAGGGCAACATGGCCCTGGATCCAGGTTACGAGGAGTGAAACAGGGAACTTCCTGATCCCCAGTGTAGTTTAAAGTGGTATGATCCCGGGGCTCACAGCTAGGACCACAACTTCCTGTTGCCCATGACTATAACAAAGTGCCCATGACTGTAATAAAGGTGGCAGTCTCCTTGGTGGGCTTGTTCTGTGGTATCATTCCGGACTTATCTTTGGAGGCTCAGTCTAGAGATCCTCCCCCAGATTTTGATTCCTTGCTTATTCTAGCCAGAGTGACTTCCATTATCTATAACTGAATCATGGCTGATATACCATCTTTGACTATTCTCCCTCTCCATGCTGTATCTTGTCAGTCAGTATATTCTGTCAGGTATAACTTCTAAGTATTTTTCAAATTATTCTCTCCTTTATTCTCAATGCCTTAGTTCAGAACCTCATAATCTCTCTCCTGGACTATAGACTAACCATTTGATTGGTTAGTCTTACAATCTTTCTCTGCTCAAATGGCAGCCCTTCGAGAACATGAATCCACTCTCATGATTGTTGTGCTTAATAACAAAACACAGATTTTCATTTTTGCTCGGCATGGATTACAAAGCTCTTCAATTCAGACAACAATCAAATCTTTCTAGCTTCATTTCCTATCATTTATTCATCATCATCCTATGCTCAAATTACATTGAATTATTTATAATTCCTAGTGCTTTTGCAGATCCTTTTTACCCCAAATCTTCTACCTGAAAAATTCTTACTTATTCCTGAAGAACTAGTAAAATGTTCCTCGTTTGTGAAGGCTTCTTTGATGTTCTTTTCTAGATGCAGTTAGTGTCTCCTACGTTTCCATAGCCCTTTCTTATTGTACCTGAAACATTATGCTTTATTGTTAACATGTACCTTTAACTTATTAGACCCACAGGAGAAGAAAGACTTTATCTTACTTGGCTTTATATCCCCAACACTTTGAATAGTGCCAATCACAAAATATGTTTAGCATACATGTTTGTGGAATGTATAAATGACCCAATTAAGAGGTATATAGAATTGATTTCTTTTTCTTGTGTAATAGTAATTCTATAAAAACCATACAAATTAAAGGTTACCTGGCATCACCCAGAATTGAAATAACACGGTACTGAGGTAACTCAGAAGATGCTACATGTGCTAGGATTCCAAAGAGCCTTTCAGCCATTATCATATCATTCTGTGTCACCTGAAGAGGTACAATAGAGAGGGGTTAAAAATGACACTATCTGTTAGCTGGATACAACTAATATAAACCCAAACAAATGTCTAGATTAAATATTTTCTTTTAAGCCCAGTAAAGTACATTCTCCTGCACTATAGAGAGAAGAGTTTTCATTGATATTTCTCTTTCTTAAAGTAAAATGAAGATGTATAAATGTGACTGATGTTGATGGAAGCTGACAGGGGTTGATGGATTAGTGCTGATTTAAAAGATGTGTTTCCTCAGAATTATGTTTTAAGTGCCTTAAATTCTCAATGAATTTTTTCAGAAATCCTGTAGTTTCTTGGATTAGAGTTATTTAGATGGAAAAATTCCCAAGTGTCAATGGGATTAGATTAATTTCAATAACATGTCAAAAGCAAGCCAAGGTGTTGTTCATGTCTTTCTTCTCCAAAGGATCATTTGTCCCTTTTTGAGAGACAGAATTCTTACAGGATTAGCAAGGATGCTCCTGTATATTCTAAAGTGTATATCAGGCTTTCTTCCCACAAGGAACAATTTGTCACATGCATACTCTGTGAGGGCTCATTCCTACGTTAACCATGAAAGTACTAAAAGCTGAAAGTAGGCCTTGTATTAATATCTGGTCATACATGTATTTTTTAAATATAAAATGGGGTTGCTTGCATTTTAAATATTATAGGTTTGTCTATTTAATCTAGTAATTCCCAAGAAGAAATCATTTTGCCTCTCCAAGAAATATTTTGCACGATCTGGAGACATTTTTGGTTATCACAACTGGTAGGGGGGAAGTACTAGAATCTATCTTTCAATGCACAGCCCCCCTCAACAAAGAATTATCTGGCTCAAAATGTCACTGGAGCAAAGATTGAGAAACCCTAGTATGGTTAAATTTTGGATCTTCAAAAAAAGTCATTCTTAATACTAGCTGTAATATACTTTACAGGCATTTTCTGAAAAAAACAAACATAAACCCAATAATTCACAATCATCACATACACATGGATCAGTGCAAAAGGAATTCTTTCCCTTTCCTTGACCTAGTTAATGAGGCTGCTGCTCCCTAAAATCTTTCCCTTAGCTGAAAACTAAGTTGTTTGGTCTAATATAGTCACCTAGTGGCCAATGCAGGCCATTACTTCATCTTTTTTACTTGTTCATAATTTCGATTCTAGTTTGAGCAATATCATTCACTCTTTTACAAAGAGAAGTAAAAATACAGCGTAACATTATATTGTCAAGGATTTTTATAGACAGGAAGGCATTTTAGGTATTTTAATAAAGTATCGACTATCCCTGGCATTGACATTTTCAGAAATTCAAGTCAGAATAAATTATATTGGTTCTTTCCAATTGTGCTCTAATTTATATAATTTTACTATTCCTTCCTAATTTGAAGTTCTGTAATAATGGGTATTCCTCTGGTAAAGATTCGTACTTGTGTATAGACACTATTTAAGGTTAATTGGGATAACAAGTTGGCCATTAATAAGGGGGACTAACTCAACCATAGGCAAAACAGCCATTCTATTTCTAGTCAAGGCTAACTTTGGAAACATTTGAGACTAAGTCTTCCTACCAGAGACTCAGAATCTCTTTTCTGGGGAAGTACAAATATACACAAGACCGAACCCCATCTTTTGAGAACTAGCTGGAGAAATTCCAGATTTGTCCAACATCTTCAACAGATGGCTGATACTGTGGTCACAGGAATACAATAGCTGATGTAAATTTCATATGGAAGCTTGTATTCTGATCTAGAGATCTCCAGTCTCCTAATAGCATGGAAAAGTTTTTGGAGTTCTAGGCCAGAGGGATCTAACTGTAGTATATGAGCTGAAGGGAAATACAGCTACTATGGCAGCAAAGCTGATTACAGTTTATCTTACAATAAATAGTTCTTCTGAATTTTAAAGATTTTTTTTCCTTTGGAAGATTATTTAAATTCAGTACAGGTAAACATAGTTTTTCTCTTATTTTTCCAACTTAGTATTCAAAGACAGCATGATTTTTGAGTAGCTGGGAGATTACCCTTGTGACAAGTTTAGCAGAATCAATGTAAAAATAACTTTTCACTAATAATTTTCCGGTTATTCACCTCCAGGCTAGAGTTAGCCAATATAGTCATGGTACAGGCAACCGTTCCCAACTATTAACAAAGCAGTCCAGATGTGTACTTATGCTTGTTTCATTTTCTTTTTCTCTTATTTTTACTTTCTCTTCTTTTTCCTTTCTTCTTTATTTCTCCTTCTCATCTCTTCTTTTTTTAAGTCACTCTTCTTTCCCTTTGTACATTCTCTCTCTCTCTTTTTTTATTTTATTCTTCCCTTCCTCTACCATGACCCTTATTAGTTGATAGTTGAGTTTTACCTCTCCATCACCTCTTGTTTGCCAGGCAGTCTGCAAAGCACTTTGAAAAATATAAAGATCGTATTACCTACAGAAGAGTTTGTTTCTTTTTTTAAACAATTACCTTACCATTTTACTTCTCTGAATGCTTACAAAAAATAGTAGAAGTATTTATTATTAATCATAAGGTTACTGTTTTATTTTCACAATTTGTTTAGCATTTTAGAAGTTTCCGGATAGAATTTTTTGCTTTTTAACATTTTAAATGTCATGAATTTTAAAGAAATAACCAATATTTTCAAAAATTACATCCTGAGTACTTAAATTCCTCAGAATTTTTAGTACTTATTTCCCCCCCAAAACATTTTTATTCTATAGTTCACTTAGTTTTCAGCTTACCTCTGTTCCATTTATTTTCTGCATACTAAAATGGCTCAGCCTAAACAGTACATAGTATTTCCAGAGTGTAAAATTGACAACTGGATTTCCTTGAGGATCAATTGTCAACTGGTCAATACGACGGAGTTGTGCTAGTGCATTAAATTGCTGCAGCATTACGAGATTTGTTTCCTTGAATTTAAGGTGCTACAATAATAAAACAAACAAAAGGATCTGCTCACTAAGTTCACCATCTTGAAATATTAACATTAATGCTTCCCTGATCATTCCTCAGGTAAATATGTAAACTTTAGGCTTAGCAAATATATCTTTAAGTATATCAAATTCAGTGAATCCTATAATTTATACAATTTTCATTCATCCAATGTACTGTTGACAGAATCCATCCAATACTGAATTCTCAATGATTCCTTCTACAAAGGACATCCTCATTTATTAACAAACTAAGATTCTTTAAAATTACATAAATGCTAAATAATTCAGACTCTTTCAGGCATTATAATGATTTTATTTGCTTTATAGTGATGCTAAATTTATTTTATAAAAAGATTAGAAATGAAAATTCCAAAACTTCATAAATACAGGGTTCATAATGCTCCTGAGAAGAAATAGTTAGTTATTAATACTTGAATCTTGCCAAATACTAAGTAGGCTAGTTACACTGGCTACAGTGAAATCAACTCACTAAAACTGAAATGTTAATGCAAATGTTGTCTCGGTGAATCTGTATGCTCTTTTATAGCCATACTGTCTTCACTTTTATCTTATTTAAGGAGGATAAAGTGGGGGGCAAAACCCACCATTAAAAGATAGGTAAGAAAAATCACTTGGCTAACAGAGAAAAACACAACCATAATAAAACTCTAGAGAGAACCCACTGTAGAAGTTATAGTTTCTACAAATGCATATAATAATAAACATAATGCCACTATAATTGGGGAAGGCTAACCTGTCAACACAATTTTAATGAGCTACTAAAATTATTTTTAGCACCATTGAGGACTGTTATAAAAATTATACAATAAATTTACAAGTCCCATCAATACCAGGTACAATAACTATATACATAGGCACAGTTGAATGCTTTATAAAATAGAAATATATAATTTGAAGAAATTTATATTTGTCTTTTTTATTCCATAAAGGATCATTTTTAGAGCTATAATTTCCAATAGTAACACAAAACACAAGACTATAAATACTAGTTTAAATTCCAGCTCTAGAAAATCAACACAAAAGCTCAGTTTTTCTGCCAGATAGAAACTGTATAAATAAAAGCTAAAATGGGACTTTGGCCTGAGCACACAAATCATGATTAAGAATTAATTCAAATCTACTACAAGAAGGAAAAATTTACCAGAGAATTAGGAAACTTAATCTTCAATTTGGGAAGCACTTGGACGATTTCATCAAATTCTATGAAAGTGAAGGAGACCGTCGTGACCATTCCTACTGTTTGAACACTCCAGTTCCGATCCAGAGATTCCAGTGCTCCAGAGCCATAGAGGGAAAGTGTATCTCCATCCACTTCTACAAGATGAGAGTCTATGACAGATAAACCCTGTAAAGCACTGGTGAGTCCTGAGTCTAGAGACCTAGAAAATACAACATAATATTCTAAATGACAAAGTTATAGATTATAACAACCAATTAGAACAGCTTTTTACAATTTTATGTTCATCTTCTTTATTTCAATAATTAAATCTAAAACACCAAATACTAATGTTCAATAAACTATCTGGAAATATTGTATTATACAAATCACATATTTTAATTAAAATTATGAACAAAAACCCCCCTCTAAACCCAAATTGTTTATACTAGTGAAAGGTAACCAATAGCCATTTAACATATCATGGATATCTTTTCATTTCAATGCACAAAGGTTCTTCTAATTAATGAACTTTTCTGATGGGAAAAAATGCAGTCAGAAAATTTCTACAATAATAACTATATAATATAAAAATACATTTATAAAACAATTATAAATGTTAACAATACTTTATCATAAGTTGGATTAAGGGGTAACTGGCTTTCTATTTTTGAATACTTCAAAATTTTTTTAAACTTTTCAAGTGTATATTACAGTTATAATAGTAAGATCAATGATTTCCTCTCCATTTGAAATAAGAAATAATGAAAAAACAATCCTGTAGGAGGCACCTGTGAGAAATACCTTGGCAGTAAGGAATTGGGGAAGGGATTTAACACCATTTAACATCATTTAATATCATTGGCCTCTTGTTAAAGAGCATGACAGCACGTAAGAGCACGTGACAAGAACACCAACATTATTGCATAGCAGTCTCCACATCTGTGGTTATTACTTCTATATAACCTCAGGAGAAGCTGCTGCAAAAACTAAGACTGACCAACGGCTGCTGAGATTACTGCCAAGATACTTGCTCCTACTAATATATATATATATGTATTTTTTTTTTTTTTTTTTTTTTTTTGGCGGGGACCGGGTTTGAACCCGCCACCTCTGGCATATGGGGCCAGTGCCCTACTCCTTTGAGCCACAGGTGCCGCCCTGCTCCTACTAATATTAACTGTGACTTCTAAGGTGCTTGGCACCCGAGACCCAAATGAGACCTAGCCAGAGTAAGCTGGCACTGCGGCCTGTGTCCAGACAGTTGAGTGGGCCGGGCCGGAGACCTAGAGTCCCAGCTCCGACAAGGCCCTGGGTTGGGGCTAGAGACACGGCATCCTTGGGCCCTAACAAGTGGCACCCCAGATGGGACCCGATACAATCCATTATTCATATTATATATACATAATGTAATCACTTCACATATTCTATTGAATGTGGTAATTGTTATTATTTCCAAAGTAGGAGCCACATTTTCTATAAAAGGCTACCTAAATGACAGCTAGAGAATAAGTGAAGTATCTTGATCCAATTCACATTTTCTGCTTTGTGAATAGGGGCAGAATTATTTGTTTTACTCAACCTCAAAATTTAAAGCTTAGCTTTTGTTCTATGTGTTTTCCTTTTGTTTCTGTTTTCAGGTATTATTTATTTGTCCCTACCAAAATTAGTGTTATTCTCTCCTTTGTGTTCCTTCAGACTTTTGTAAACTCCTTCCACACATCACTTCCCATAGTGTATTACACAGTATAATCCCTTCTCATACACACTTACTATTTTGCCTCTTACTCAAGATAGTGAGTTCCTTGAAGCTAAAGATTATATACTTTTCATCTTTAGGGACTATGAGGCCTAGTAATAAGCTTTTCACAATGTGTATTGAATGAATTAATTATTAAAGATCTTCAATATAGTAAATGCTGATTTTGAGGGATAAGATTGACAAACCACTTCCCTATTGGTTTATCATACTTATTTCAGAGGTACCAGTTAACCCTCTACTCATTTGTCTATTCAATAACAAGCTGGGTTATTGAACATCAGTCTACTCTATGTGAAAATGCAACCAAGAAAATACAAAAAGGCTTGATTTCTACCAGACTAGAAGAAGTCTGATTGATTGTTGTCATTGCTTGAGACAATGACAACAATCAAAAATTCAATGAGTAGCAATATATGAACAGTCTTGGCTGATAATCTTAGGTAAAGGCTGATAACAGAACAAATGTAAAATAAGAATTAGTTCCTTACATTGTTTTTAGTGTGATACACTGAGCTAGGTAGACCATATAATCATTACTGCAATAGAACAGAGGAAAGGAGCTAACATTTCACTGCTATTAAAATAAAGAAGGCTTGATGAAAAAGAGTGTATACTCCTATTACAGCACTTACCATGTTACACTGCCACGACCTGTCGATTATCTGTCTCTCTCACTAAACACCGTGATCCTTGAGTTGGGGAACTTTCCCATTTAGTACTAGAACATGCTTTGCTTTACATTTATTTCTTGAATGAATTAATGATATGACACAAGAAGTTTTTAGTGAGTATCTATTAAATCTTAAGAAAGATATTCTAACCATAGCCGTGGTTTCAGCAAAGGGGAAGAAAAGATACAGACACAGAATAAGAGTTAGTAAGAAGCTTTACCCAAGTGAGGCAAAGACACACAATGAAGAAAGAAAGTGGAAAGAAAAAATAAAAATTAGTTTATGTAGGGATGCCTCATGGCCATTATACCCAGCAAAAGAAATTTAGCTTTAAAATGAGGAGAAAAGAGAGTTAGGTCCAAGAACATGAATAGATCCTTTAGGAAGTAATCATATATTTGGAAATGTGTTGCTTTTCTTTTTCCATATGGTTAAAAATTTATGGATGTAAATTCTAAATGAAATGTTTGCCATTAAAAAGAGATTATTTATTTTATGTAAAGGTTTGTTAAGCAAACTGTTGTAACATGGTTACAGCAGAAGTCATCTACACCTTATACAGATCTCATGTGGACATCTGGCAAAAACAAATGGCAAGACTGTCTGCTGGGCTGTAGACAGGTTCATCCTTTTATTAGGAAACACAGCACCTGTTAACTAGGTCGTATAATACTTCACTCATTTCAGGTATTTTCTGAATGAGGCTTTTGAGTTTTGCTTCAAACTCTGGCCAATGATTATAAATTTTCTGCTCGAGGAAAGTACAGAAATAACTCAGAAAACTTGCTAAACATTATTTATGTGCTGGAGATCTGTAGATCAACCTTCTAGTTTTCTTTGCATGCTTAGTGAATATGTCCACATCTTTTCAGTTACAAATGCAAATTTATTTTTTCATTAATTTACCATTTGTTCTTTTACTCACCAAACATTTGCTGAAAGCCCATTATCTACAAGGTATTGTGCTAAGAATACTGTCACAAGCCACTGAATCATCCGTATTTATAAGAACAACCAGTATTGAGATCATGTGCAAGATTTTGGATATATCGAAATTATTGCTTGCCTTCACTAAACTATAGTTTTAGAAATATAACTGCTCTAATCCTACTTTGCAATCAACCTAATAAACACACGGGACATAATTTCTAAACTGAAATAACTTCAGTATCTCATTAAACAATCAGATGTGTGTGTGTGTGTATGTAGCTTATTACGTGTAAGGTATTATGTTTGGCATTGGGGATATAAAAATAAATCAAGCCATATTTGCCCTCAAAGAGCTCATAATCTGAATGGGGGAAGGGGAGAGAAAGATAAATATATACTTTAACTGTGATACAATGTGCTTATTGATATATAATGAGTATTTAAACCGCTCTAGGAGCACAAAGAAAGAAAAGATTAATTCTTCTAGAGGAGAAAAGCCAAGTTTCAAAAAGAGGCAGCATTTGAACTGATCCTTGAGAGATGAATAGCAGAATTATATCTGGAGTAGAAGGGGGGAAAACAGAATGAAAAAGGGCACAGAAGCCTGATTATGTATAACATATTCTAGTGAGAAGAACTTCAGTATGGCTGCAACACTGAAACATGGGACTGGAACATGGAAACATACGGGGAGTAAGCGTGGTGATGAGGCTGAAATGTCAAATTTCATCCTGTAGGGCTAAGAAGTTTTAAAATTAAAAAGCAATACTATCAATGTAACTTTTAGAGTAGCTCCTAAGTGCCATGCACGGATCTAGGCACTGGTGCTGGGAATACAAAGATGAATAAGACATGCTCCCTGCTCTCAAGGACCCACTGCAGACACCTAAGTTGATCAGCTCTGTGGAGGACATAGTAGGGAAAGGTTGGATGCAGGGGAAGACCCTGCAAGAAGACCAGTGCGACACATCAACTAGTCCACGTGAGGGAATAACAAAAAAAGGTATGCTGTAGTGGAAATAGCATGGAAAGAAATCAAATTTTAATTCAAATTCTAGATCATTTAGTCATTATTGATAAAAAGATAATGTTTTGAGCAAATTATTTAATTTCTTTGAGTTTCAGTTTCTTGTATGTAAAATGATCATTATATATAAATTTTTAGAGTTGCTGTGAAGATTATAAATACTCATTCTTAGCTCAATACTTTTCATGATGATTATTATTAATAAAAGATATATCAGATATTTAAGAGAAAAGAACTTAGGTTGATTAACTTTGGAGAATAAAGGAGAGGGAAGAATTAAGTATGAATCAAATTTCTAAAGTCCATCTGGTCCAGTTTCCTACCTCTGTCTAGCTTAAATTTACATGCAAAGAAAGCTGGTATTCTTCTCTGGAGGATCTATGTTTTAAAATTTGTGCCCCACAAAATCCAAAATGTTTCCAAATACATTCCCTGAATCAAATATTAACTATATAATATTTGATTATAGCAGGAAATATAACATCAAATAGGAATTTTCTTCAAGATCTTTAGTGGTTAATTTCAAGTCTAAATGTCCAACTTGATCTTTATATAAGAATAAGTAAAGGCCAGGTATGGTTTCCTCATACCTGTAATCCTAGCATTCTGGAAGGCTGAGCCAGGAGGATTGCTTGGGCTCAGGAGTTCAAGACCAGCCCAAGGAAGAGTTAAATGCCATCTCTATTAAAAATAGAAAAATTAGTTAAGCATTATGGTGGGTGCCTGTAGTCTGAGCTACTCAGGAGGGTAAGGCAAGAGTATCACTTGAACCCAGGAGGTTGAGTGAGTGAGGTTGTCACCATGGCACTCTAGCCTGGGGCATCAGAGTGAGG